ACTAGTCAATGAAATTATAATTTACTAAAGATTTACATATTGATGTTGACCACAGTCATACCACACAGTCTTGAGATTAGTAATAGATATTCTGAGAAGACTAGCTTGATGTGCTTAGGGCTGCTTCCATCATATTTTCTTCTATATCTGTGAACATTTTGTCCTCAGACTCAGTATTATGCTTTATTTTTTATAATATAAAGTGCTCGCATATTGGAATTGGGAAGATTGGCCTAGAATCCAGGATGGCAATGCACCTATGTGAGAAATAGCAGACACTTACACGACCTTAAAGGACATACATAACCTCTCTACACCTCAGTTTTTTCATCTGAGGAATGGGAATGGTGATTTCTTACAAAGTTCTAATGAGGATTAAGTGAACTGATGTCTGTAAACAAGTGTGGTACCTGAAATGTAAGGCTATTGAGAACATTTTAGATTATCCCAGTCACCTACCCCTTCCCACATTTTCCAAATCCGTGGCCCTAAGGGCCCATTGTAAGCATCTTAAGTTTTGCCAGGCTTGCTACTCAAAGCTGTGCCCTTGTAGTGTGACAGCAGCCATAGGCAACATGTAAATGAATGGGCATGATTGTGTTCCTACACAGCTTTATTTATGGACTCTGAATTTGAATTTTATATAATTTTCACATGTCACAAAACATCATTCCTTTTTTTTCAATTTAAAAATGGAAAATGGAATGGAAAATTCAACTCTCAGGCAATAAAAAAAAATAGGCAATAAGCTGGATTTAGCCTCAGCTGAAGTTTGCCTACCTAGATTTAGAAAATGTCTGATGGCCATGTGGTGGGTCCACAGGGAACCACATGAGGCAGCTGTATGCTCAGTGGCTGAGACGTGTGCTTTGAGGGGACTTGGATCCTGGCTTTGCCACTTTGGCCATCGATGAGTTACTTTGCCTTCCATCTCTAAGTCTCAGTTTGCTCACCTATACTATTGTGACTTTTTATGAGGTTTAAATAAGATAGAGAAGGAGACAGCCTCAAATAAGATCTCAGCAAATGGGAGCTGTAAAGGTCCACGGTCTTCCTCTTACAGGACTAATTTTGCATTTTATCTGATCTACTCAATCAAAACCCCTTAAGCAACAGTCAGGCATTTCCCATGACCTGCACAGGATCCTGTTTCGTTCCAGATGATCCTTATGTGGCCTTTCTCACTTACACATTTGCCTTTGAAATTTCCCTGCAGTCATAACCAGAACCTGGAGGGGTGAGATGGCTGGGGAGCTCACCCCTTTCTCCCCTGAACTCTGAAAGGATCACAGAAAGTGTTCAGAGCATCTCAGAATCATGAGTTAAATCACAATGGACTGCCCATTGTCTTTAGAGAGAAAATAGGTAATAAGTAGGGGCTTTAACACAGTCTTGCTCCTGAGTGACCACCCCTTTCTGCCATGCCCCTAAAAGAAATCAGTATACTGAATCCAGAGCAAAACGCACAAGCCAGCCTTCTGGCCAGGCCAGCATAGAACTCTAGTGAGCTCAGCTGCACCGTAGGGAGGATGCTTTGGGCTTGGGCTATACTGGAGAGGCCAAGAGCCTACAGCCTAGCCCAGTTGCATCCCTCCACCCAATCCAGAGTCTCAGGTGGGAAGCACAGGTGATGTAAGAATCAACCAATCTCCATACCTGTAGGAGAGCCTGCCTACAGCGTGTGGATCACAGTTGGCCACCGCCAGTGCTCCACCCACGGAAATGAATGAGACATGTTTGAAAGAGGAGGGGTTGGGCTTGTTAATGAATCCAGCCTCTCCTTGGTAGATGGCCTGCCTTCTTCTGCCGTTGAGTTCTGCAAGCTGTATGCATTTCTAAAACAAAACCAACCGAATCAGAACCACCTCAAGAGAGAAGCTTCTAGAAAGCTGGCAAAACTCACAGCTCCACACACCTCTGTGTGTGTCAGTGTAGGAGAGAGATGGATGCCGCCATAGCCTGCTTTTGTCTATTGTGTAGTTGAAGGTTGGAAAGGAGTGATGTGGGGTGGTCTGAGATTCGAAGCACAGGAAGGAAGGAGTCTTATTACCTGTGGCTTTCCTGTGCCATCTCTGCCCCCGAGAAGACCCTACATCATGATCACAGACCTGAGCCATTTGCTATTTAACCTTCTGCAGCTGCACTGTATGTTGTGGGTAGGTGCTGAAATAATGTTAGCCCTTGATAGTGGTCTCTGTTGCCAGTTTTGGTATTTTGGGAGTTCCTACATCCCGTTTTCCCAGTCATGGCCACTGTAAGTTGTTTGTTCACTCTGGCTTCCTCTCCCAGGCTGGAATGATTTTGATGAGAGTGAGGGCATTCATCTTGATTCTGTGTCCCTGTACCCCAGAGCCCCTCACCAGGGAGAGTTGCAGATAGGAACGGATGAAGGGAACAGCTGCAATCCATATTTTATCTTCAGTCCGCTTACTGGATCTCAGCAGCTCGGCTTTTGCCAACCTTGTATGACTGAATCGGCTGCCGAGAGCCTCTCAGCCTAAAACTCCGTGTTGCTCCTGAAGCCAAATCATTAGGTGGACTGGCATCGTCTACCCCACGTGGATCTCACCTGTTGTCGAACCAGCCTCACTTTGGAAAGAATTTGACTTGTCTCGGTGTTTTTTTAATACTTGAGGTCTGTGTAGGGCCACATTCCCCTCCTTAGGCACTCACACAGAGTCCTGATAACATACTACCCTGCTGTGAAGAAGCTGATGCTGTGCTGTGGTCATCATCCTCTGAGGGTTATGACATGTCCATGAGTAAGGAAGGATTTGGCCTTCTTTCTTTTTACTTCCACCAGAAGACAATGAGCTCTGGTGAACAGTCTGTTTTTGAAGTCAGATATTTTGGGGCTACTCTAATACATATTCAAATTGTGGCTTTACCACTCACCACTGTCTGCCTTTGGCGAATTAATGGTCTGCTCATCTACAGAATGAAAGATGATGATGCTACCATCTTTTTGGAGCTGCTCTGAGCATGAACAGGTGATACTTGCTAACTATTTAATGTGGTCCAGCCCTGTGTCAAGTGCCGCTACCTTGTGTTGGGTCTGTACATGCATCCACGTATACACACTTTGTGTGTGTGAATATATATATCTGTGCCTCCAAGAACAGCAGTTTAGGCATTGCTATGTTTCAGCAAGTATGACTTGAAAAGTTTTTTGCGACAACCTTAAAAATAATATGCATTAAGTGAAACTTTGGAAATAAAGGAAAAGCATGAGTAAATAATACAAGTCATGTGAGGCACTCAGTCCCACCATTTGTTCATGTAATGGAAATGCCTACTTACATTTTTTTTTTTGAGTTGGAGTCTCACTCTGTTGCCCAGGCTAGAGTGCAGTGGCACATTCACAGCCACCCCAGCGTTGACCTGCTGGGCTCAGGCGACGTTCCTCCTCAGCCTTTCTAAGTAGCCAGAACTATAGGCGCGTGCTATTACACATGGCTAATAATTTGATTTCTTGTAGAGATGAGGTCTTGCCAAGTTGCCCAGGCTGTTCTCCAACCCGTGGGCTTAGGCAGTCCCCTCACCTCGGCCTCCCAAAGTGCTGGGATAACAGTCTTGAGCCACCACACCCAGCCTAAAATTTTTATTTCATATGGGATCACACTCTGCATATGGTTTTATTTTTTATTTTCTAATATATAACGAATAATTTATTTCCATAAAACCAGTTGTCTTTCTACAGTATGATTTTTAATACACCACAATTTATGTATCAAGTCCTATGTTATCGAAAATTTGGGTTTCCAGTTTTTCATGATGATATACTCTGGTTGAGCGCCATGTGGCATAATATTTACACAAATTTGTAAGTTAAAAAACCCCAAAAAACTAAGTTCCTAAAAACTAACTGTGTCAAAAGTAGGGACTTTTTAAGGCTTTGGATAGATATTGACACATTTTTCTTCTGTCAATAGTGATCGCCTTCCATACCTTCCTTGATTCTGAGTATTGATTTTAATTTTAATTTTTTAAAAACCTCTGCTGTTTTATATAGGTGAACATGTATTTGCTTATTGTTCAGTTTATTATTTTAAAAGCATTTTCTGCTCATGTTCTTCAGCAGTTATTTTTGTTAATTTATGGGAGCACATCACAGGGACAGTATATGAGGTCTGTTACTGTTATATTCACTGTGAATATTTATTCCCCAGTCATTTGCTTTTTTTTTTTTTTTTTTTTATGGGGAGGTTTCTTTATCTCCTGCTTCTCTCCCCCCACCCCAACCAAGATGTATCAAGTATGTATATTGTGAGTTAAATTTATTCTTTTCCTTGGTGGCTTCTTATTTAGGTGTTTTTGCTAGAAAGTGATTTCTCACCCAGGAATCACAAAAACATTCACTTCTGTGTTCTTCCTAAATTATTACTCTATCTTGAATTTGTTTGGATATGAGTATGAGGTAGGGATTCATTATTTTAATAGATCTGATGACTGTATCTTAAAAAATTATCACAATTTATCATAAAAGATGTTTTAAGAATCAGTAGATATACAACAATACCACAGCCAAATGGAAATATATTTCAGGGACTTGAAAAAGGGGAGGGGGCTGTGTCTCTTCATAATGAGAAGATTCTGCTTGGGCAGTTTGAGTTAATTTTAAATCCCAGATTAACCCTTTCTTGCCACTCATCGAGTTGACTACTGGGAAAGAGAGTACTTGGAATTCACCTTTGCTTCTTTTCCCGCCTTTCTGACCTAGTCTCTGTTCTTGGAGCAACCTGCCCCTCTGAACAGTCTCTTCCAGGAAGGATGCCTTTGTGGACCTTTCCAGTCTCCGATGTCTCTGTTTCAGCTCCCATCCCTTTAACTGAACGAGTGACTCACCTAGCCTCAACACCTAGGTTTTCCAATAACCCTGCCTGTCCTGGAACGTAGCGTATGTAGGTTGAATGTGGGTAAAACTGCATAATCACTGATCCCTTGATGAAATCAGATTCATTGAAAGGAAGAGCACTAACTCTTGGTATCTCCTGTCTCAGGAAAAGATGAAAGGCAAGAACAAGCTGGTTCCTCGCCTGCTGGGAATCACAAAAGACTCGGTGATGCGCGTGGACGAGAAGACCAAGGAAGTGCTGCAGGAGTGGCCCCTCACCACGGTCAAGCGTTGGGCAGCCTCTCCCAAGAGCTTCACACTGGTAGGGACCGGCAGAGGGCACCGAGGAGACTCGCGTGGCTTTGGGTGATACTGTAGGACAGAAGAAAGACCAGGTCCTCACCCGTGGGTTTCTCTGGCCCTGGGAAGGGCAGGGAGGGGAGTGGGTTCACAGGAAGAGAGAGGTCAGCAAGCCTGAGTTTCTTAGGCGAATGCTTCCTCTTTAGTGCTCTCTCACCTCTCGTTAACTAGAAGGAGCCACTGAGCAAGATGATGATCAGTCCTGTGCTCCTGTTGGCATTCCTAGCATATCCTGAAGGGAAACTTTGTAACATTCTCCTCTCCATCTTTGTTTTATCTTGTTTTAGAGGCTCCTAAGGGTTGTGATATCTTGCTCTAAGGAGTGTTTTCCCAGTTGGTCTGGAAAGAGAGCATAGTACCTAGTGGAAGTAACATAGATGTATTGGGAACCCCAATTTGTCATGTCCTAGCTATGTGATCTTGTTCAAGTTACCGCTCCTCTCTGAGCCTTAATTTTCTCAGCTGTAAAATTGTGATAGTAGTACCTATTTCATAGCATTGTTAGGATTAAATGAGATGATAATAAAATGCTTAGTATAAAATTTATGGAAAGTAGGGCAAATATATATTCCAAGTCTTCATAACTCTGAATTCTTCCTCCCAATTTCAGCATTTGCTGTTAGCAGTGTAACTGTATTGCCTTAATAGTCAGTCACATTTACATGCAAAATTGAACAAGGCAGCTGTTTTGTGTGGCAATTTGAGCAGAGAAATTAAAAAGTGCTAGAATTTGTAAATTTCTTTAGACTCCTGAAGTCTATAGTGAATACTTGAAATATCAACTTACATCTATTAGGCAAGATCTCATAACAGGACTTTTTTTTTTTTTTTTTAGTATAAGGAACAGGCTGTGGAAGGAGTTATTAGCTATTTTATTTGATTGTATATTGATAGGTTCATGGCAGTTGGAAGGAATCTTCAGAAAACACACCTTGTTTCCTCCTATAGTCAGTGACAGCTTGTTTGTACTTGCATGGTTCTCAAAGATGGGTGTTCATACTTAGAGAGCTGCATCCTCATCTTCCTTGTAGGAAGTCGTGGTTAATTTCTAAAATAGAAAAGTCAAGAAATCAATGTAAACATATTACTTAGAAACACTAGAAGAAACTGCTAAAAGAGTTGAAAGGGGTTATCTTTGCAGGGGGAGAAAGTGAAGATGGGAATGGGAGGACAGGGAATAGCTGTGTTTTGTCTTATAACTTTTTTTTTTTTAGTTAAGTCTCACTCTGTCACCCAGGCTGGAGTGCAGTGGCATGCTCATGGCCACTGCAGCCTCAACCCACTGGGCTCAGGCAATCCTTCCTCCTCAGCCTTCTAAGTAGCTGTAACTACAGGCACGCACTAGCACAACTGGCTTATTTTTTAATTTATTATAGAGATAAGGTCTCACCAAGTTGCCCAGGCTAGTCTCGCACCCCTGAGCTTAGGCAATCCTCTCACCTTGGCCTCCCAAAGTGCTGAGATTACAGGCTTGAGCCTCCACGCTCAGCTGTCTTATAACTTTTAATACTCTTGGTCTTTTTCAACTAAGTATTACTTTATTACAAAAAATTATTTTAAAAATAAATAAGAACTAGTTATGATAATCTCAATAACTACCTCAAACAAAAGAGAAAATCAGTATCTTTTATTAAACTATAAAGTTGGATTAAAACTTTCAGTATATAGTTTTTTACCTTCCTACTTCTAGCCTTTATTTAACTTTCAACTGTTTGGAGGTTATCCTGCTTTTTGTCATTTTTTTGTTTGATTCCATTATGATCAATTGTTTGGAGATGTCTCTGTTATCTATTATTGATATTTAGTCTGAGTCCATTATGGTCAGAAAACATTCTCTGTATGATTTCAGTTCTTTTGAAAATGCTAAGGTTTGTTTTACATCCCAGGATATGATCATTTTTGGTGAGCGTTCTGTGAATACTTGAAAAGAATGTATATTCTGTTGTTTTTGGATAAAGTGGGTTCTATAAATGCCTGTTACATCCCTGTTAGTTGAGGGTATTGTTCCAGTCTTTTATATTCTTGTTACTTTTCTGTCTAGTAATTCTATCAAGTTCTTAACAATAATTGTGGATTTTCAACATCTTTCAACTCTCAGTTTTTGCTGTATTTTGAAGCTTTGTTGTTTGATGCCCATGTTTAAGACCTCCTATATCTTAATGGAGAGATTGTTTTATCATTATATAATGTTCTTTTGTTTTAGTAATTATTGTTTTGCTCTGATGTCTGTTTTATCTAATATTAATATAGCCTCTGATGCTTTTTTATTTTTTATTTTTTTTTGAGTAGGACTCTCACTCTGTTGCCCAGGTTGGAGTGCAGTGGCACGCTCAGGGCCACCCCAGCGTTGACCTGCTGGGCTCCAGTGATCCTGCCACCTCAGCCTTCCAATAGCCAGAACTACAGGCACACACTATGACACGGCTAATTTTTGATTTTTTGTAGAGACGAGGTCTCACCAAATTACTTGTACTGGTCTCGAACCTGCAGGCTCAGGCAATCTACTTGCCTCGGCCTCCCAAAGTGCTAGGATTGCAGGCTGAACCACTGAGCCCAGCCTGATGCTTTTTTAAAATTAATGTTGACATTATCTTTTTCTTTTTGTTTTCAACCTATGTATACTGTTATATTTACGAGTTTCTTGTAGAAAGCATAATTAGTTGGGTTGTGTGTTTTGTTTTTTTTTTTGTTTTTTACTCTGTCAGTTTTTTTTGTTTTTTTTTGTTTTTTCAGTCAGAATCTCACTCTCTTGCCCAGGCTAGAGTGCAGTGGCATGATCATGGCTACTACAGCCTCGACCTACTAGAATTAAGCAACCCTTCTGCCTCAGCCTTCCACGTAGCTGTAACTACAGGTGTGTGCCACCATACTCAGCTAATTTTTTATTTATTGTAAGGATAAAGTCTCCCCGAATTGCCCAGGCTGGTCTTGAACCCCTGGGCTCAGGCAGTCCTCTCACCTCTGTCTCCCAGAGTGCCGAGATTACAGGCATGAGCCACTGCGCCTAGCCAATCTCTATCTTTTTATTGTTATACTATTTATGTTTAAGCTGTGTATTAATATATTAGGGTTTAAGGCTATCATTTTATTTTATTTTTTCTGTTTGTTCCCTCTATTTTTTTTTGTTTTTCTTGCCTTCTTGTGGGTTATTTGAACATTTTTTGGAGTTCCATTTTGCTTTATGTACTATGTATTTGAGTATATCACTTTGTGCAGTGTTCTTAGTGATTTTCCTAGCTATTACCATATGAAATTTATTGCAGCCTTCTGCTGGTATCAGTTTTATCTCTTTAACTGAAGTGTAGAAACCTTACATCCATGTAGGACTCTTTGTTCTCCCCATATTTTGAACATAATTGTTTAAATATTTTTTCTATGTAAATTAGACATCACATAGAATAGTCTTAAAACTTTTTCTTCCAACATAAAATATGATTAAAGAAACTCATGAGGCACAGGATAATCTATTACATTTCCATTTGTTTTTATCCATCTCATTGTTGTCTTTCTAAAGCTTCCAGCCTTCCTCTGTTATCATTTTGTGTTTGGAGAGCTTCCTTTAGCCATTTGTTAAAGGTACACCTGCTAGCAACAAATGCTCTTAGCATTTCCTTCTCTGAGAATGTTTTTATTTCCCTTTCATTCATGAAGGGTAAATTTGCTAGCTACAGGATTTGGGATTGACAGTTCTTTTCTTTTAGCACTTGAAAAGCATCTTGCCACTTTCTTACCTCCATTGTTTCAGATGAGAAATGCACTGTCATTCAAGTTGGTGCTCATGTATAGGTAGTATGTCATTTCTCCCTGTTTTTAAGATTTTTTTTTTTAGTCTCTAGTTTTCAAAATTCTTGGTATGGTTTTCTTAGGGGTTATCCTGTTTGAGGTTTGCTCAGCTTCTTGAACTTGTAGACTTAGATTCACTAGTTTGGGTAAGTTTTCAGCCATTATTTCTTCAAATACTTTATTTTTGTTCAACACTGTCCTTTCCTGTTATTTTGATGATATTAATGTTAGATCTTTTGTTATTGTCCTGTGGATCCCTGAGACTGTTTGTCTATTTAGTTTGTTTTTCTCTGTTGTGTAGATTGACTACATTCTTTGATCTGTTTTCAAGTTACTGATTCTATTCTCTGTCATCTCCACGCGACTATTGAATCTGTCTTATGTTTTTTTTAATTGTGGTTTTTGCATTTTTTAGTTCTATAATTTCCACGTGGTTATTTTTTATGACTTGTTTCTTTGTCAAAACTTTCTTTAAAAAAAAAAAATTTCTTCCAAGAGAATTTGCAGTTGATTGTTGAAACATTTTTATGATGTCTGCCTTAAAAATTCTTACCAGGTAATTCCAGTATCTGATATATTTGTGTATTGGCATCAATTGATTATCTTTCTATTCATATTGTGGTTGTCCTGGTTCTTGATAGGAATATTGATCTTTTAAGATTATGTCTGTAGACATTGTGGTTATCATGTTAGGAGACTTTGCATCTTCCTCAAATCTCTTGTTTTAGCAGGCAGCCACTTTGTTCAGGCGGAGTGCACAGTGTTCTGGCCTACTTTTGTGGGCTTTAGTTACAATGACAGTTTCATTTTCTGATCCATTGCAGTCTATTCTGGACTACTTTGTTCCCTTGGCACTGCTGGAGTTCATGCTGAAAACCTGCAGGTTGTGTCTTTGAAAGTAGAAGACACTTTCCTGGGCTCTTTGTCATTGCTGGGCGACCTTCAGGAGCAGAGGCAGAAGCCACTGGGCCTGAGTCTCTTTGTGCCACTGAGTAGAAGGCAGGGAGACACCGGGCCCTACTGGAGCTCCTGCTGTGAAAGCACCAGGGCACCAACCTGCCTAGGTGGTGGAGCAGGGCCTGGGTGGTCCTGGGTTCCACCGCTCTGCAGCAGCTGGTGAATGCCACCCCAGCTTGTCAAGCTGGAGTCAGGGCTCTCGATGAGGTCTCTTTTGGGCTCCCCCTCTTCTAGTCCTTTGACCAGAGAGAGCGAGCAGACTTCCCAGGAATTGTCTGTTGGAAATTCCAATGTTCAGGCCTCTGCAGCTCCCAGTCTTGGGGGTAGATGGGATATAAAAGAAAAGCCAAGAACTCCCCACATTGTGAGTTTGGTTTCTCAAATCTTGAGGCCTCCCAGCCAGCCCATTTTTCCAGTTTTTGGAGTCCTTTTACAACACCGTTGAGTAAATTTTAGGGTATTCTATTGTATCTAGAAGGGAGAAACATGGAAAGGTGAGCCTGTGTCATATTGTTCGAGAACTGGGCCTCCTGCCTTTAAAACTGCTGATATGTCTGATGTAGCTGCATTTCTGCCAATGCTATTTTTTCAGGATTTTGGAGAGTATCAGGAAAGCTACTATTCGGTACAAACCACCGAGGGAGAGCAAATATCCCAGCTGATTGCGGGTTACATTGACATCATCCTCAAGAAGGTACTTGGTATTAATGCAAACTGGAAAAACAAGATTCAGTAGAGATAATGTGGCTACCTTGGAAAAACACCCTTATTTGAATGAAATACTTGATTCACTAATTTAATCTTTGACATTAGATTGCTTAGTGCTTAAGTATGAGATCTTTGACCTCAGGATCCTATGAAAAGTTCTAATTTTGCTGCAGTACATATTTGTATCATTTACTGCCTGGTAATGTGCACTAACGTGTCACTTGGCTAATCCATGAGCCTAGCTAACCCTTCAGCATCTTCCTTTCCAGGTAACTGTGTCGTGCTTTTCAGCCTCTGTAGAAACCCAGATTGAGGGTCTAAAAATGTTCTTTGTAGTTTCCATGTTGTTTTTAAACCAAACTTAATGGGATTGTATGCCACAGTGGTAGATAAAAAAACATGTTTCCTAAATACAGCCCATTCAAACTACCAAGTTCTAATAGAATGCTAATATGTGCATGTTGGTTTTTTACTATGTAAAACTAAATCTTTACAATAAATACAGAAGACTCATATCTATGTATTAAATATCGTATTTCTCTTTTTTATTATCATGCTTTTGTTCACCCATCATTTGTTAAATATCCAATACAAGACATTTGTGCATTTTTTGCTTATGATGTATTTTCAAAGATCCCTGTGTTAAAACTTGCCAATTTTCATTTTGGCATCTTTTCTGCATTTTCAGAAACAAAGTAAAGATAGATTTGGACTCGAAGGTGATGAGGAGTCCACTATGTTAGAAGAGTCCGTTTCCCCCAAAAAGTAAGTGTTAAGAACACTGGAGAACCACTGACTCCTTAGATGAACAGGTTTCTTCCTGCCAACTCAGGGCCTGTGGCTCTGAATTCTGTCACCTGGAGATGATAGTGGATGCTATAATGGAGTGTTGCTTCTCCAAGTGTGGCCTCCAGACCAGCACTGAAGATGCGAATGTCTTGTGTGGGAGGCTGAGGATTTCAGAGAGATGGTGAGCAAGCTATGGTGTCTAACTCCACATTTAGAAGCAGTGAGTGTTCGCAGATCCCATTCTGTGTTTCTGACTTAAATCTCATGAAGCGATTCATTATTATCAAAAAGTTGGGGAATGAGCTTCTGTTTGATTCTAGCCCTTTTGGGGAAGGGGCTGGGAATATAGCCAGGAGAAGAGTTAGAGTCTGAAGCATTGCCTCGTGTCTCGACGCCTGTCTCACATGGTATGAGCCAGTTCAGCCTAAGGGAGTGGTTGAGAACGTGGAGTCTGGGGTCAGACTTGCTGGGCGCAAATCTGGGGTTTGTGTTTTCCTCTGTGGCCCTGGGGAAGTTACTGAAATCTCTTCTGGCATGAACTCATCTGTAAAAGGAGGATAATGATAGGACCACCCTGTGGGTTTTGTCTTCATGACAGAGTTACTAATAAAACACATAAAACAATGCCTGACCCATAGTAAGTGTTTGCTGTTATCATCATCATTGTTTTAAATTCAGAGTGTTCTCAATTTAGCCCCATTTATAGATGAAGAGACAGAATGATTAAAATTCAGAAACATCTAATAAATGATACTTTCTGGGACAGCTGTACAGATACAACTTTTAAGTTAAACAGAGCACAGCAGTAACTTCTTGCACACACTGTGTGGGTATTTGACTTGCTGTCTCATTTGATCCCAACAACTTCCTGTGTAAGAGAGAGGCCAGATGTTACCATCCCTGATTCATGGATGAGGAAACCAAAGTGTGAGAGGCAGTCACGTGGCAGAGCCTGGCCTTAGCTTCAGATCTTGGGATACTTCCCCTAGTCCACGCCAGAAAGCTCTAGCATCTTCCAGGATATTGAACTTGCTTAGCTACCATTGATTCTCTAACATTTGCCCCCTTTCTGTCACTTTCTCATAATTTACTTCTTAATCACCTTAAAGGTACTTTCCATTTGCCCCTTATTATTACACAAGCTGGAACCAAACTTGTACTTGCTACCCTCTGGCAAAGCACTCAAGTCCTTGGGATTATTAATGACCATGAGATGAAAATTAGGAAGCTAGTCTGGGTGGTCTAATGGTCTAGGGCAGTCTTCAAGCACCAGACCTTCCACTTCCTCTATTGTTCTTTGGCTGAGATCTCAGAATGCAGCTAGCTTTTTTTTTTTTTTTTTGAGTTGGAGTCTCACTCTGTCATCCAGACTGGAGTGCAGTGGCCGCTCCCGGCCACCGCAGCCTCGACCTGCTGGTCTCCGGCGATCCTTCCACCTCAGCCTTCCGAGTAGCCGGAATTACAGGCATGCACTACTACGCCGGGCTGATTTTTAAAAATTTATTGTAGAGATGAGGTCTTCCTGCCCAGGCGGGTCTCGAACCC